GTGAGAAAAAGAGAAATGGTGCTTGCAGAGCAAAGGCACTGGGCAGAGGCCTTTTAGTGCTACATCACTCAACAAAAAGTGGCAAGGCAAAACTTGAAGCTCAAATTACAAGACTGCTGAGAATTGTAGGAGAGTCATTACTTACAAGGTCATTTTGCAAATTTCAAGTGCAAAATGTAATGATGAAACAAACATAAGTATGGAGTATTCTAAGAAAGGGGAAGTTATGAACCTTACATCAGCACCTGGAGAGTCACTTTGGCAGGTCAGAGATTTTACTCAATTTTTTTAGAGATTGCATTAGAGTGTAGTAAACCACACTGTTAAGAGGAAAGTAAACAGTGATTTTGGTATCAAGAAAGACACAGCTAGTCAATTGGTAATTCATCCATATAGAGTAGGATCTCTGTGAGAGAGGATGGCATCGTGGCCTTTGTGATCAACCTCCAACCTCAGAAACAGTTATTGGGCAGACTGATCCAGAGCAGAGAGTTCTGAAAGTTGGTGCTACTCAGGCTGGCAGGAAATTGCTATCAAAGGACCTTAAAATTGGTGCTGCCAGTCTTTCTAGATATCAGTTATTCCTGTGTGGTTGGATGAAGGGGACATGTGTTGAGTGTGTTGGCAGAATCAGTGAGGAATCACAGGGTTGGGGATATCTACTCTGCTAACAGACAGCTCCTCCATGCTGTGATGTTTAAACAGGAACCCAGAAATCCCATTCCATGGTGGTTCCCCATAAACTGAGAGGCCAGACTACTTTGTTCTGCTGAGTTCCTGCCACTGATCTGCAAAGAAGCTGGGCATTTTTTGACTTCTGGAACCTGAGAGCCCTGGTTGTTGTTATTCTGTCTCATAGTCTGAAGCATCTGAAGTCTAGACACTTGTCTTCTCGTTGGGTTGCCTAGGAGCCCAGCTGGCAAGCGGGGAGTGAAACAGGCTCATTGTAAAACCTTTCTGCTGTAATGCTGCCTGGTTTCATCAAAATCAAATAATCTCTCTCAGGTATTTCAATCTTGAATTGTCAGTCTTACAGACAACCATCCTGCCTGGGAATTTTGAACTGACTTTTCACAGATGAGCTTGTTTTCAAGACACTAGCTCATAAACTTAGATTAAATATAAATATCTCATGATAATTAGAGGAAGCATATCTCCTGTTTTATAATTGGATGCAAATTTCCTTTCCTACCTAGACATCCGAGAGTGTTTTTATCTAGAGCTTTCAAGGCCGTGGTGTGGATTTGAAGAATTACCAATATTTTTAAAGATTCATCCTCTGACATGTATTTCAATATATATATATATTGATAGGACTGATAAGGTACTTCTGAGGACAGGAGTGAACTCTGTAGGAGATAGTTTCATGTCAGCAAGTATTAAATTCTGCATTTCCTTTCCTGGTATATTCTATATACTATATTATTTATATCACTAGGAGCATGTATGTCAGAATATGTGCTCAATTTCAAATTGTTTAAATAATTTAGCAAATAATAATGGGGCTAGAGGGAAGAAGAGCATAAACCTGAAACTACTATACATTTTATTTCTAGAGTAAGCAGCCTCAGCACCTAGTGTCTGATTATTTTTTAACTATTCTTTGAAAAAAAAAAGCTTCCTTGCTTATTTCATGCTGTATCTTCTGTTACAATTAGACTTAGTAATTGATAGAGGTTTCTTTATTGTGTTATGAAACAATTGTAATGTATATATGCTGGAGGTTTGGAGGAGAAAACATTGGTTGTCTTCCTGGAAAAAGCAATGTCCATGTACCTCATCAAAGACAACATAAAATTTTATATCAGTGATAAAACAGGACACAGAAGAATGCTAAATGTTCTGAAAAGCAGCTGCCTACTGTTAGTCTGCTAGGAGCTAGGTTTGAAATGGCTTTAGGTCTTGTGTGTTTGACTTCTGTGTTTCTTCTGGCATTAGTTAGTCTTGTCTCTAAAATCTGAAGTCTGAGTCTGATTGTATGAACTCACTATATAGGTAATGACAGGAAATCCTAACCCAAATCTAAAGGGTTTATAAAGAGCTGTTATTTAACTGTTCAATCTGAAAGACAAATTTCAGAAAAGACATGGAAAATAATAATTTGAAGTTATTTAAATTTTTATGAGTAACTCTGTATAACCTCTGACATTTGGCAAGACATGAAATCCAGCAGCTTTTATTATGTTGAATGCCAGCAGGAAGACCAGTTGGATTTGATGGTGTTAAAGGTCCTTTCCAACCTAAATTTTTCTACAATCTCTAATAAAGCCAGAGGATCAGCTGAACTAGCAGCCATGTAGACAGACACTAGAATCAATACTCAAATCTCTCAATTTTTTTTTTCTGGCTGGGAGGGAGGAATAAATAAGATATCTTGTGCTTCCCGCTTGACCTGTTACTGATACCCAGCACTACATGAGGTTACACGGAGTTACCCAGCAGGATGGAACAGAGTGCAAATTCAGCTCTGCTGTTCATCTCTGCATTGATTCTTGTGAGGACACTGAGGGAAACAAGGAGGTGTCCAGTGCCTGTCCTGTCCTCTGCTGGCAACACCATAAAGATGACACTAATCCCTGTGTCTTTTCAGAAATGCATGTTGTTTACAGACACTTTGATAACATAATTTCAGTGGAAAATTTTCTATAGTTTGAAAATCATATGTCATAATCCTGTTTGATAATCATGAGATTCTTTTCAGTATAAGAAATATTATTATTTTATACTATTTTTGTATCATTATTCCATACTTGAATGCATTTGTGATTTATAAAAATGTTTTCATTCACTTACAGTCTTCTGTTCCTGTAAACTCTTCTGGTTATTGCCATTGAAGTGCTAATATCAATGTAACAAAATGCCACTAAATCTCATGCAACTACTGTTATAGTGGTATTGTCCTTTCCTTTAAAAGCTGCTAATTGTAGATTCACAATTTTGTCATTTATTTTTGCAAGAGAAGAAATGTTTACTACAGATAGATGAAATTATTGACTTTTATCTGAAAGTTTTGCTTCATCTCCATTGTAAAAATATTTTCTGAGTCCTTATCCTCAATTAAAATCAGATTTAATGCAGCTTTCCTAACTAAAAAACCCCAAGCTGTTTAGACTGGAATGTGACCAATCAGTTAAGCAGAGGAAGATGTGTTTAAAATAGATTTGTATCCTAAATGTAGACAACATAGAAATTCTGCAGTAATTTATTAATTTAGAAAGAACACAATAGCAAAGAGCACACTTTTCTGAAACTTGGGAGAAGTAGGAAAATCCAAATGAATACATTTTCTTAACACAATACAAGCTCTTTCTTTTTGCCATCTGCCATGTAAGTTGACCATATAATTATTTTAGAAGCATTATAATACAAAGAGTTTGAATGACTAGATTTTAAGCATTACTTTCAGACTTTTTATATTCATATAATCTGCTTTACTGTTTTAGTTTCTTGAAACTTTGCAATTACAGCTACTTTTAATTTTTCTCATAATGATTAAGTAGTTTAGGCAGTATATTCCTTAATTCACGAAGTCCTTGTTGTGATAAAGATACATACTCAGAAAAGATAATTTTCTTGATTTTGTTGTTACAGGAGTGTATGTTAAAGCTGCTTTGGTCACCTTAATTATATGTTTCCAGGTATTGCATTTTAAAGTTGAATTTAATTTTCAAATTTCCAGACTTACTTTATGTTTTACAGTTGCTAATTATTTTAATTTTTGCCACCTAAAGTTATCCCTTAGATATATCAGGGACTTTACTGGTGAAAATGTGTGTCTGAATCTAAAATGGCCTCCAGGCAAGATAAATGCCTGTGTCATTTTATCACAGGAGCAATGAGTGAATGTTTGCAAGGCTTTGTGCCAGCAGCTTTCAGGTCACTTGCACTTCTAGGGGAGCTTTGGAATGCCATTGTATCTCACATACCTACATCCCCATCAGTCAGGTTTCAGAGACAGAGTCTAGACTGACTCCTCAGTGAAGTATCTGTACAGCCCTTGGTGTCTCAGCTGCCAGTAGAGTCAGTGGGGATGTGTTCAGTGCAGCCAGTGGTATCTAGAGAGCAGTTTTGCTGTCTAGTCACCTGAACAGCTAACAGAATGGCACTGAGGGAACTGCCTGAATGTTAGCATCTCGTGCTTATTGAGACTCCCAAGGAAATCAGAGACATCTGTACAGAGCTGGCAAGTGTGATGCACCTGCACTGGAAATTATCTGCAAGAACACTGCATGCTGCAGTGACAGGAGAGGGGCAGATGGGATATTTTTGGGCACTAGATGCCTGTATGTGAAATGCCTCCATTGACATAATGACTCCTTCTATCAAATTTTGTGGAAATTCAGGTGCCAAGTTTGCTCATGGAGACACCTGGTATTATGATCTTTGACTGACTCACATCCATAGATGCCCAAATTCTAGTTTGATTATTAGGTATGATGTATGATAGGACAAGGGGGAATGACTTCAAACTGAAATAGAGTGTTTAGGGTAAGTATTAGGCAGAAACCCTTTATTTGTTAGGGTATCACTGAAGCAGTTGCCCAGAGAACTTTTGATGAGCCATCTCTGGAACTGTTCAAGGCCAGGTTAGATCAGGCTCTGAGCAACCTGGTCTAGTGGAAAGTGTCCCTGCCCATGGCAGGAGATTAATTGGAACTAGATGATCTTTAAGGTCCCTTCCATCTCAAACCATTCTATGATTCTATTATGATTCTTTTTCTTCATCTCCAATCTGTGTCTTTTCAATTAAAATTTATTCTATGAATGAATTCTCCTGCAACCAGATCAGTTATCACAGGGTAGATGCAGATGGACTACCAAAATATGTTGCAGAAGAGGGTGAAAGCAGTATGTGATACTTTATGGAGAACTTACTTTTCTTGTCTCCAACACTGACAACTTAACTATGTGCATTCCAAGACTTATTAGGAGATTCTGTTGGTTTTGATGTCCACAAATGAATGAGGTATTGCTTAAGTATTTATTTTTTTCTCTTTCAGTTATTGCAATGGATGTATGTTAGATCCAGACTGTGGTCTCTGCTACAAACTGAATAACTCAAGTGTTGTTGAGTCCTCATGCATTCCTGTTGATAAAGATTCTACAATGAAAGCAGCTTGGGGCAGGTATGTCACTTGTCAATATTTTTTAGCCTTATGCTCTACAGAGAGTGTATTTTATGATATTGAGAACAATTTTGCTTTTACAAAAAGTGTTAAATTCTTGAGATGTTCAGGAAGAAGAAAATAACTTGGCATTGTCAAAAATAAGTAATTACTTCTTAACAATAAATCAAAGCCTTGACCCTGATGTGTGCAGGCCTTTCGGTGTACTCTGTCACTTTGGAAGCATGGCAAAAGTACACTAGAAATGAGGAAAATTACCTTTCCTTAATGTTTTTCATTCATTTGAAGTGGCATATTCCCTAGTTATATACTTAAAGCTCTCTGAATTAATTTTCTTTTTAAAACCACACTTTTAATATTGGCCTACCAAAGAAACAATTAGCTCAGCTGAATAAACTAAAATTAGCAAAATCTGAAAAGTTCAAGTTGTCAAAAGCATAGGGTTTGGCCCCAGATTTCTGTGGTTCTCTGCCTGAAAGAGGTGTCATGCCATATGCTGCACTTGAGTGTAAAAATGTCTGTATTCATAGGTGCAACTGCAAAATATATCAAACCTCTTTCTTAAGCAACACAAAATTTCCTGTGAAGTCACAGCAACCTTCAAGTCTTCTGAAGTTCTGACTATTCCAAAGGAATAACTTTGTGAGTTAGAACATTGTCTTGTAGAGGCTTTATGAATACTTTAGTAATGATTAGGGCTTGGATCAGGGTTTAGAATGGTTCAGAGCCACAAGAGAATTATGTAATTACTTCTGATAAAACCACCTCAACATAATTCATCTCAGCCACCCACACACCATGAAAATACTTAGGGAATAGGCAAAGGTTTGTGTGGTGGTTCAGGGCTTTTTTTTTTTTCAACTTTCATAGATATTTCTCAGAATTTAAACCCAACTGTCTTAATGGCACTGAGTCATATTGGACAGAGGTTGAAAAGTATGAAAATATCTACTAATTGTAGAATCATTAATTTAAAATTACTCTAAAATTGCCCTCATTTTGATTTCAGTACCATTAGGCCTAGTAATTATTTCCAGGTGCAGAAAAGAGAAGCTTATATTTTTTGTAATCCTAATTTTAAAGCACTGTGATCATTTTGGGGCCATTACAGTTAATAAATAACTGTGAAAACTATAAAATCTCATCTGACCTGCTTGTTCTGTGACTAACTTCAATGTCACACTATGGAAAATACCTTGCATGTTGTCTGATACCCTGATGTGATCTGCAGCATGTGGACTCTCATATTTGTAAGGTTACAGATGTCTCTTTATATTCCAAGTCAACATCCATTTCCTATATGCTGTAGTTTTAAGTAATTTATCTGTAATTAGCAGGCTCACACTAGAATGCAGAAAGATGTATGTGCAAAGAAAAACTTGTTAGGAATAGTTGATAGATAAAATTAAACTTTATTTCATTAGCCAGTGGTATTGTTTAGCGTGATAAATGCAGGCATAATAATTTTTTTCATATTTATGATTCAGTCTCACATACATTCTTTGCTGTATAGCCTGTTGGAGTAAATTAGATAGGGAAGAAAAAATATTTCCTTATCATATTGCAAAATGCAGTCTTTCCATGAACAAGAATTCCTGGTATGAAGACCCTGCTTAAAATCCTTCAAGAGGAAATGAAACAATTTATTATATGTTACATTGGTAGCCACTGTTGTGAAAGTCCTCCCTTAAGCTGGAAAACAAATAAAATATCCACATTTATTTTTCTGAATATTCATCAACTCTTCTAGTGTTTATTTCATTAACTTCTGTCTTGCTTCCACCTGGTCTGTGTAATCAGGCAGTTTTCAAAAAGCTGATCCTTCAAGCCGTGAAATGTCAGGTGCCTTCTGTGCCTTCCAAGCCCTGTGGAAGAGGAAAGCATTTTGTCTTCTCCTTTTCCTTCTGCTCCTCCTCCTCACAGATACATGTATTTCTGCTTACTGGCCCAGGGGAATCCCCATAGATTTTTGTTTCCAAAGGCTCACATTCACATACCATCCCCCAGCTCTGTTTGCTCAAATCCTGAGTCTGCTTTACAGCAAAATCAGTCCCATAAAGGCAGAGGATTTCCTTGCCGAGGGAAGATCGCTGCAGGGAAAACAGCGTAGTTACATCCCCAGCTGTGTCTCAGAGCAGCCAGAGGCATCTTTATCTCCCTGGCAGCACAGGGAGAACAAGTGCCCGAGACAAGCCAACAGCACTGGTGAAGGAAATTGCAGGCCTTTCTTACACAAAGTTACTTCATCACAAACTAGTCATACAGGGGCAATTACTTTAAAAATACACAGCATTACAGTGATCAGAAAGTAGAATAATAATTTGAAAGATGATTTTGTGAGCTATGGACAGCTGATAGCCATAATTATCAGCGGCCTCTTTTGTAACTCCTGTGTATCCTGATGGTTTCATGCCATCCAGTATTAGATGAATGAGTTTAAATGGCTTAAAACCTCCAGGGTTACAGTTGGCTCATGGAAAATCTATTTTGCCATTAATTTTGCTAAGGAGAGAAGAAAGATCTGAGCTGTTTGTCTGGGACTTGTTGGACCTCAGATGTCTGAGCATTAGGAGAAACAGCAGCTCTCATGATGCTGATGCAGGAGTTAGAGAAACAGCGTCTCCTGGACTCAGGCTGACAGTACCGTGCAGAGCATTTTACTGCTGCTGTGATCACATCTTGTTTATGATTTTCCTGCTGGAAAGCTGGGAGCTGCAGCCATCTGAACTCCAACTGTCCTGACATTTACTGAGGGGCTTATCTATTCCTGACGTGTAACCTATCACCAAGGTGAGAGGTGCTCAGAAGCACTAACAGAGAAGGTCTTGTCATATATTTTTCTAAAGCTCTCTGCAGCCATACAAGCTGACATAGAAAACTTCTGTTTATGCATTTCTAGTTTTTCACTGTTTGTCCCAAGGTACTTGGATAACACTGATGTAGCTGGCAATGCTTTGACTGTTTGCATAAAATACTGTAATACATTTTATTTCCAAGACATTTCTCCAGTGCCAGCCAGGTATACTAGATACCACCTCCATTGTTAATTGCATTTTTTTGGTTACGGTATGTTCTACATTGAGAAGTTTTGGGAAGGAGAGGGAAGAGAGCAGAGATTTCAGTCTCCTGTGGCTGCCAGCAAGGCTGTTTATGTTGCTGTGGTTGTCATGGAAACCCAGGGAGACAATTAAAGCATCCACATATTTTTCAAGAAGAATATAGCATTTGGGTTCTGTTGAATGTTGGGAACTCAGTGGCTGGCAGGGGCCCTGGGGGAGAGAGAGACTGCGCAAGAATAAATCTGAGCGAGTCCAAGTCAGAGCTTAAGCAGCACGGCTGATGTGCAGTGGGTGTGCCTGTAAGATCATGCATGTACCACAAGCAGTAGAGATGTATTTTTCATTATTTCATCAGCTACATAAGCATGACTGGTATTAGAATAACACAGAGGAGCATCTGTACAGGCAGGTGCTTTGCTGCCTTTGGTATTTCTGAACCAGTGTGCAAAATAGCTGTTGACATGCAAATCTTACCGCCTCCAGCTCTGCCCAGGGACACATAAAGGATGGATCCAAGAGAGTAAGAAAGAATATTCTTTAATTATTTATTTTGTAGTAAAAGAAGAAGAGCTGTATTTTTCTTTCAGTGTGGTCTCACAGCTCTGCATTTGGACTCTTTTTTCCAAGATTTAGGGAAGTTTTGCACTTAGTAGCACAGAAAGCCTTGCAGTTCTGTTCTTCATGAATATTGAATTATGATATCCCCATGAACTTAATAAAAAGCATTATCTCACTTGTACAGATGGGGATATAATGGGAAGGTTCCAATATGAACAACAGAGGTCATGGGCAAGAGTCCCTCTCTCAGCCCAGACAAAATGTAGAGGTGATTGTTTTCAGTGCTGTGATTTCTGAACACAACCCAAAATCTGGGGTTTTCCCCCACAATTACAATTACTCCCACAGTACTCAGAGAAATTTCTCTCTTGTAATTGCAATACTCCCAAAGGTCAGCCAAGAATGAAGAAACTTTAAATTGCATTACTACCCTTACAGTTGAAAGAATAACTGCAAGGGAAGGAGGTACTTACAGTGCCTTGATGTGACATTAACCTTGACATGAGTATGTTGTCAAGACGACAGCAGGCTAAAACCGAGCTAAAACACTCTCATGAGCAACTCTGAGCAATCTTCCTCTGGAGAGAATAATGTTGATTTTACACAGTAAACAATTATGAAGAAATAATAACATCATCGTCAGATCAGCAACAAGCCTAGAAGCCATCCTGTCCACACAATTAGCTGGCAAGTTTCCACAGTCCCTGAAGGAGAACGATTTGGAGCAGAAATCTATAAAGAGAGAGGAGCTGAGTGATTTGCTCTTTTCAGCCATTTTTATTAACTTTGTTAGAGGAACATCTCCCTGCCAGGGGAGTTTAATGTTTCATGGAGAATCCTACTTTTCTCAATATAAAAGCTCTCCCCTCTCTTTAAGGGCAGTCAGTGCAAAGACGAGAATGCAGAAGATCTATGTCTTTGGGAAGCTCTATTTTCCTCTAGCCACTGCTCTCCTAAGCATATTCCTTCCATTTAAAATTAATGGCATGTTTACAGATGCTCAGTAATGTTGTTGTGTTTCGCTGTGTGCCTGTTGCTCTTGTTGCTATCTGCTTGTTCGCTGAGGGGTTTAAATGTGTCTTGGAAACCTCTTTGGGGGAAAAGTGCCTGTGCAGTGAGAGGAAGTGGGTCAGGCAGGCAGTCAAACCCTCTTTCCCAGCTTCAGGAATGTGCCTGATGACCTTGGCATTCAAGCCTGGATGCTAACTAGATTCCACTGGTTAGAAAAAATAAATTCATGGGAGCTTATTAGCTGGATTCTGAGACAACAGATTGGTTTATGTCCAACAGGGGACATGCCAGTGTCTGTCACAGCCTCAAGAGTATTCTGGTCAGCTTTGCATTCATGCAGGGCTGCCTGTTGTCTAATGCATAGCTGATGAG